ATTTATCAGCTAAATTGAATAAATGTGATAAATCAGATAAATTGGATAAATTCATTAAATTCATTAAATTCATTAAATTCGTTAAATTCATTAAATTTGTTAAATTTGTTAAAATAGATAACTTGAACAATTGCGATAAAGTGCACTTGACCCATGATTGTAGGCCACGGTAAGTGGTCTGAGTTCGGAGCTCACAACAGAAATAGAAATCATTCAATATGTGAAAGATAAACACTACATGATAATTAGGGTCACATGAACCATTCAGATTCAAGATTTTGCGAATTTCGATCACCCATATGGGCAGATTTTCAGAATTCAAATATGTTACATCAATTTGAATATGATGTGCATGATACCTAAAAATAGAATAACCAATAAAATTATATAAACAAAGTCACAAGGATCTGCATGACCAATCAGATCAATTAAAAACTTTAATACACAAGTAATATTATTAATGTCTACTAGATGACACATTACTACTACTATATACTTTGATTTCACTCATATTTATTTATTGTTTAAACATATTAATTACAACATCACTCATATTTATTTATTTAAACCATATTTATCTATATAATGAATTCCATAATACGATATATTAAATCTTCATGAAAATAAATTATTTTTGCAATTTTACAATTTTACATTGCAAACCCTTAATATACTGTAGTTAATAATAAAAGTTTTAGAATTTAAACTGAGATCTTTGAAATTAAAGTCCTGTTAAATATAAATATAAAATTTTAACCTGTTATATAAAGAAAAAAATGCAGAAGCTTTGTGAAAGTAAGCAGCACTTTAACTATTATTTTAATAAACAAACCTTTGGCATTGTTACTAGTAAAAGTTTTGTCCATTTTGGGATCTTAAAAAACTATTTCAGGATCTTTGAATCTAAGATCTTGTTGAGTGTAAATATAAACTTACAAACAGTTATAATAAAGAAAAAAAAAGCAGAGGCTTCGTAAAATAAACAGCACTTGAAACTATTATACTAATAAATAAACCTTTGGCGTTGTTACTAGTAAAAGTTTTGTCTATTT